ACATTTTCTTGAAAAGTGTTTTAAGCTCATGAATTGTTTCAAGACCCTAGTTAGTAGTTCTTTGATGCATTGTACACTCTTTGAAAGTAAGCTCTAACCATACTTGGATTATTTGTTTTGATTTTCGTGGCTTAAGTTGAACATTCATGAATTGAATCCTTTCCTAATAAGTGAGAACCTTAATTTGAATCTTTTTAATTATCATACTTATGCATTTGAAAAAGAATACATGGATCACTTAAACATACTTAGGCTTTCTTCTTCCTTTCACCATTCTCTTGTAAGCCTAAGTAGACTTCCCCACCTTTACCTTACCCTCATTTCAAGCCAATGTTCTTGTGTGATAAATCTTTGTGAGGCATCTTTTCGCATAAAGTGTTAGGTTTAGGCGACATGATTAGGCTTTCATATTGATGCTAGCTTTGCATTTTGAAGCTAGTTTTAGGCTTAGGATAGGGCGGGTATTCATGGGGATTGCTTTGTTTTGCTTCGGTTTAAAGAGTTTGAAGTTTGGAAGTTGAATAAAATGGTTTTAATAGTTTTAAGTGGAAGGCTTATTGTTTTAAAAATGAAAGCTCTAGTTTAAATAAGAAGGTAGCTCTCAAAAGAAAAGAAAAAGAGCCAAAAGGCCAAATGTTTAAAAAAAAAAGAAAAGAAAAAAAATGAGTAGAGAGCTATCAAAGTAAAAAGAAAAGAGCTAAATATGTTTTCAGCCTAACCATTAGCCAAAGGGTTTTAAAATGATGCTTTTATTTGGTTTTTGCTTGGCGAATTGCCTTGATGATAAGGGTAGTCTTTAGGAGAGTGAGTGAGCTTAAAAAGAAAAGAAAAATGAGAAAGGGTTCTAGGATCATTGTTAGTATATATGGGTAGATGAGAGTCTAGTCATGTATGCATCAATTGTCTTTACCTTTAGCATTATGCATAAGTTCGACCATTCTTTGAGATAACCCATTATTTGAATCGCCCCTACAAGTGAGGTCATTTTTATCTCACAACCCTTGTCCCTTAGCCAAATGTATTCAGTTTTAAAGTGCATAAGTGTGATTCACGGTTTTGAGCTTAAGGAATGTTAAAGGTTAGGATTCTTCGATTGTTTGGGATATGAGAGTCATGATTTGAGATTCAATATGTGATGAGTATGGCTAAGTTCTTTGGAGTATGAGTGTGTGCATTGCATCTTAGGATTAAGAACTAGGACCATTGAATTGATTCATTTGAAAAATACTTTTGCAAAGAATTTGAGCCCCTGTTTTAAAACTTTTTTCCTTTCTTGAATTTTGTTTGCTTGAGGGTAAGCAAAAGGCAAGTTTGGGGGAGTTGATATTACCATATATTTTGCATGCACTTAGGATAGTTTTTCATGCATTCATCTTGCATTATAGGCTAGTTTGTTCCATTTGTTGCATTTAAGGTCCTAGGTCTCTTTGCATTTGCATTTTGCATATTTCTTGCACTTTTGCATCATTATCAGGTTGTTTGGAGCACTCTGGAGTTGTGGAGGTTATGTGGACGTGAGGAGGATCAAAACGAAGCTCGTGGACACTTGGAGAACTCAACCATGCATGCAAAGGACCTGAGATCGAGTAGCAGATCGAGCAAGGCAGGTCGATCTAGATGAGATCGACCAGAAGATCGAGTGACACAAGTCGATTTAAGAGGAAAGATCGAAACCGAGATCGAGAGAAAGGGATCGATCTGGAGTACGGACGTAAATGACGCCATGCAGAATGAGAGCCGGATCGAGACCATGACTCGATCATCCAAGGATCGAGTAGAAGATCGGACGAAGTACTCGATCCATCCAACCAGATCGACTTGCAGATCGAGCAGCAGAAGGCGATTCCTGAAGACGATCGAGTGCATTGATCGATCTCAAGATCGATCTCGGGTACTTTAACCGCTTCTGGAGCGTAGTGGGGGGGGGGGGGGGGGGGGGGGGGGGGGGGGGGATGGGGACCATTCCAGCTGTTTTGGCCATTTTAGTGAAGAGGCGGCTATCATTTTCATTATCCTACATATTGCTTTTGCTTTTTCTGTTCTTCGTTTTTGGAGGCGATCAGCCATTGTTGAACCTTAAGCTTTTGTTATTTTGAACTTGGATCTTTTGAATATTAAGTCTTTTTCCCTTAATCAATCGCTTAATCATGCTTAGTTTATCTTTCATTGTATTTTATTTGGTTTCAATCATGAGTAGCGAGTAGTTTTTCCTTAGGTAAAGGGTTGAGGCGATTCAAGGGTTTAAGAGGTTTAAGTTTTGTGTTTTTCTTGTTCTTCATTCCTTCTCTTCTAGGATCTTGGGGTCTTAAGGCTTAGAGAGTCTTGGAAAAGATCTCTACGATTTCAAGGCTGTCTTACCCTGACCGGATTCAGATATCCTAGAAAATCAAGTCCTAGAGACTAATCGACCCTCTCCCAAACACCATGGATGTAGATGAGGTTAGTTAGGCCATATATTGAAATCTGTTTTTCTTGCTCTTTGATCTCTTTTTCCACCAAACGCCATGGGTTTGGAGAAGAGATTGAGGAAGTGAATCATACCACAAGCCATGGATGGTTCTTGTTTTGTTTTCAAGGCTTAGAGAAAGCTCATCAATGAGTAGATCTATGTGTTTTTAAACCAAAGCTTGACCTTTGAACACTCTTGAATATGACCCTCGACCCTGAACCCTCGTTTAGCATTTTAAAACCTCTGTTTGTCATTCTCTTGTCATAAAGCTTGCATCTTTGTTCATTTGAAGTCATCGCCTTTAAGTTGTTAGATCGATCTGTTTTACCCGATTCAGTGCTCGATTTTTAGTTCTTAGTAGATTTTCATTTTAAATCTTATTCTTTTTCCTAGTAGTAGTTAACCCTCTTCCAGGGATTTTAAAATAGTTTTGAATCTCATTTGGTCGTTGCATTTAGTTTTCTATGATTTTACCAATCATTTTCCCGATTTGCTTCACCCTTGCATTCCTATTGCTCTTCCTGCTTCCTAGGTTGGATTGATACCCTTACTGCTATACTACATCATTGTTGTGGTTTGGGATTTGATATTCTGACTTGCTAACAACATGTTTATCAGGTATGCAGATCAATATAAGCTCAGACTGTCCAATACCGGACAAGACTGCCCGATACATAGCCCGATACTGTCAATATCGGTCTGGCTAGGCTGATATACAAGTGGATATTGGCCTATTTCGTTTCCTCCCTTCCTTCAAACTTAGCACCTTCATCCTTGGTTCAAACCTGGTGCTTAACAACATCTCAAAACATTAGAAAGCAGTAATATATACAAGGATACCATGAGACTACCTCCCAAGTGTGCTTGTTTAAAGTCTCTAAGCTTGACTTTTCACACCCTTAAGATCTTGGAGGAAGATAGAGTGGAACCGAAGTTCATTCTCTTTTCTCCTTAAACAATGTATTGGCTCCATAGTAGAGCTTCTCCTTGAGTTTCCTGACCCTCTTTCTTGGTCTACCTTGTCCACCATAGAGCTTCACTTTGATTCCATCAAACAAGTAAAGGAGACAACTACCATCAAAGGTTTCACATCATACTCATTGTGATCAAGAGGGTCTTCATCTTGTTTTAGCACTTCAAACTTGAATCCCCTCTGCTCTTCCTTGACATCAGGTGGCTTTTTAGCAGCTCCTTTCACATCACTAGTGATGCTTCCATAAAAGCTTTAAGGTGGAGGCTTCATTGCATAGCTAACTCCACCATTTACCTTCTTGAGGGTGACTCTCTCCTTGGTGAAGTAAATATCAGCGCCTGCTGTGTTTAGAAATGGAGTCCCAAGTATTAAAGGAAGCTTCTGAGCCTGAACCATCTCTAACACAAAAAAATCAGTTGGTATCTTGCATGCTCGAATTCTCAAAGGAAAGTCTTCAATGAGACCAATGGTTTGCCTTGAAGATGACTCCATAAAAGTGATTGTGGATTCATATGGTTTCAGCTTGGTGACTCCTAGTTCTTTTGCCATGTCAAGAGACATAACATTGATGCTTGAACCTGAGTCACGCAGATATTCTTCCACAACCAATTCACAAAGCTCACAAGGGACTAGAAACTTTCCTGGTTTGTTAATTTTATGGAGGGTTGTTGGCTCTTCTTTCTTCTTCTCTTTGCCATCTAAGGAATTCACAATCAGATCCACCTTATCTATGTTCCCAAGAAGGTCTTTGATGAAATTTAATTGATCCTTCACTTGCATCAAATAGTTTAGTGGAGGCAAGGGGACACCAGCCTTATTCATCTCTTTTTTTAACCTTGAGAGCACAGCCCTTTGAGCTTTTGTAAGAATTCTAGCAGGATAAGGCAAAGGAGGTTTGTATACAAGCTCATTCTCAATGTGTGATGCTTGATCTTTGAGTAAAGGCTCTTGCATAGTCTTCTTTGGATCAGCTTTCTATTGGGGATGTGACTATTTTGTAAGCTCCTTTAGAGCATAGTATACTCCAACAAGCTTATCATGTTCAGCCAATTCAGCTCCTTGTTTCACCTCCACTTCAGCTTCAATGGTCTTATCTTCCTTATCAGACTTGGCATCACTAGCTGAACTCAAGTGAAAAGCACTTCCTCCACACTTTGAATCATGTCCACATTGATCTTCTTTGTAGAGCTTCTTTGAGAGAACTCATTGCTTGATTAACACTTTGAATCATGTCCAAATTTCAAATGCAACCGAAAATTTTGATTTTTTTTTTCTGATTTTCTATGCAAATTGTATATGCACGAAGACTCAAATATGCTTAAAGGGAAAATAAGAAAACAAAACGCAAAATTAAATCTCTCAACCTCTCCCCCAAACTTAAATTACACAGTCCCTTGTGTAATAAAAGTTCAAGAGAGACCATCAACAAGAAATAAAATTCAAAAATCCAAAAATGCATAATATATACAAGGTCTTGGAATGGTGTACCTTGGGCTGTGTTGTGGTTCGAGCTGGAGGATCGATCTGTGGGTCGTTCTGGGCAGAAGATCGAGGTTCATGCTCGATCAATGGGTTGATCTACGCAGGAGAACGAGTGGGTGTACTCGATGCATCTCTCGATCTTGTCCTGAATCGGTCGATTCCTGTCATCCTCTCGAGATATCTAATCCTAGCATTATCGTCGGGTAGTGTGAGATAAACATGTGCATGCGTCTCGTTGCTTTGAAGCACAGTCACTGCTCCCCAATACAAAGAGGAGTCATATTGAAGACCAAAGAGTGTTAGTAATGACCCAATTGCTTGTTCTAACTTGTTATCTTGTGCTCGCTCATAAATTTCTGTTTGTTTCATGTAGGCTTCATTCGTCACGAAGTCATACGAAGCTTTCGCCGTTCCTCGTTTACGTGCTGAAGATGAAGTACGTGCAGTGTTTCCGTACACTCGTTTGGAACTTTGATTGTGGGAAGACGGTGTTTCATTTAGGTTTGGTGAAGGCGCGTCAGAATCATCTCCTAGATTCACTGTTTCAGAATCATTCTCTGTAACTGTTTCTGACTCAGTATGTTGATCCACTCCAGAACCTGGATAATATCCATCATCAGTAGAAATGTGTTTGTTGCCAAAAATTCGATCCAATATATCGAGGTTGGTAAGGGGGTGTGTTCGGAGTTTTGCAGCATCAAGTATTTCCTACATTAAAAAGTTGAAAATATTAATTTATTTATTTTTAATAAAAAAAAGTGATGAGATGTAATGTTCAAGAGTTACCTGAATACGATCACGCCACCATTCATCATACATTTCAATAGCTTGTGTAGTTTCATTAACTGTGACTCCCGTCATACGTCGCAGTCGACGATAAATATCATAACTTTTTTTATAGCGTAATATTTATTTTTTAGTGAATTCCATTCAGAGTTTTGACCTGTTGCTTCTCAAAATGTATTTATAATTCTCGTTTTACTCTCTTTCTTGAGAGGACCAGTACGCCAACTAATATGTTCCATCTCAGTTTCATATACTTCAAGAAAAATATGAACCATACTATCGGTCCATTGTATCTTTCCCTTAAATAACAATATTACATACACATAATTAATCAACTAAATTGAATACTATGATAAGAAATACATGAAAAACAAAAATAATATATTAACAAATATATACCTCTTTGCTGTTTGATGATTGTCCTTGATTCGCCATGGCTATAGCAATACACATAATTAGTAGACAGATTTTTAAAAGAAACTAAATTAAATTTTTTTTTTTTTAAAACTATGGTTCTCTGTATTACACATAAAATATCAGAAATAATAATTAATACCTACATTTTTATAATGTAACAATTAAGTACAGTATAACATATGTATAATACTTATAATTAAAAAAGTATACATTTCAATCTAGCCAAAAACGCAAATTTGTTAATTAAAACACAATACTAACAAAGGTAAAAACAGAATGAAGTACATATTTTTAACAAAAAAATGAAGTTTATATCAAAAGATCCCTTCAAATATAATACAAGTAATTAAATAAACTTACCCAGAAAACTCCAATAGCTTAATAGCTCAATCGTAGATATGTTATTTCTGAGATTTTGTGTGTGTTTAGTTTGTATGAGTTTTGTGTCTTATATAGAAAAGTTAATACCTAAAATGAGTAAATTTTTACACAGAATAAATAAATACAAACAATATCTATGGTACCTAGTATTAGGGAAATCCTTAAGAATAGAGATTTTGGTTTATGCATCAGATATTTTTGCATTTAATTTCTTATTTAATGAAAAAAAAATTAAATAACAAAATAAAAAACACACTTCACGGAAGACAAAACTCTGAAATTGCAGTTTTTGATTTTTGTTCACAAAATCACAAAATCTGTAAAAACTAGTTTCCCTATAGTTTAGGAAATCTATTTATACAAAAACCTGAATGGCTAAAAAAGTAGTTTGAAATACAAAAACCAAAAACCATTTCAAAAACTGCGCTCAGTCAAGCCCTTAGACTTCATGCATTCATCTAGGATTAGCTTGCTTGTTTAATTTCGGAACAATGATAGAACATCTTTGTAAATGCTAGTAGTTTATGAAAATATTGTCCTTGCTCTTAGTCATTTGATGCATTTAATGTTGAACTAGAAATAAGGCTGAACCACTTTTGGAATTTGTAATCTTGTGAGTCTTGTTTGAAACTGAAGTATGATTTGAAATGATTTCATTGTATAAGTGAAGCTAATTTTGATTTGGAATTATCATGTCTTATGTTTATGTGAATGTTGTCATGGATTACCTTAAAATATTTGGACCTTATTATTCTCTTTTGCCACTATCTAAAAAGTCCATTTAGATCTCCTCATCCTTACCTAAACCTTCTTTCAAACCAAAATATTAATTTTGAGCAATTTGTGAAGCCTCTTTCCTTCATGGTTGTTGCTTAGAAAAAAGTGTTGTGTTGGAACTACAAGGGAAATATTTTCATTGTAGAACTAGCTCACCCTTAAGTTAGATAGGCTATGGAGTTTGGGAAATGGTTTGGGATTTATTTTGGGTTAGTTTTAAATAGAAGCAAAAAAGAAAAGAAGTCAAGGCAAAAAGAAAAGGAGTGTGACACAAGTAAATGGTAGAAATGGCGGTTCAAAGTTCAAAACAAAGAGAAGGCTCAAAGAAAAAGAAAAGAAGGTGCAAGAAGTGCAATTCACGTAAATCAAAATGCTAAAGGCGAAAGCAGCACCAGCATCACCAAATAAAAGGAGGCAAAGTCAAAAGGAGAAAACCGCCACCAAATGAAGATTAAAGAACAAGTGTCCTCCAAAGAGCTTAAAAGAGAAGAGTTTTTGGGTTTTTATTTAGGTTTAAAGTTCTAAAAAGGGTAGCTTAGGCGGGTTTACATTGATTAGCTAGATTTAGGAACATTTCTTATGGGTCTTGAGTAGATGGGGGGTCTTCCTTTGTATGTATAAGTTGTTCTTTGACCCTTAACATTTTGCCAAAGCACAGCCATGATTTTCTTGAGAGAACCCTTGAAACACCAAAAACCAGTTTGATAAGTTGTATCATTTTTATTTCACTAAGCCTTGTCCCTTAGCCAAATGACACATTTCCATTTACATAAGCATGATTCACGGTCTGAGCATAAATGAATGTCAAAAAGATTGTTTGAATTTATGAGCATGTATAATTTGATAGCATTGTGATCATTCTTGCTTTGTGATGAAAGTGGCTAAGTGTTTAGAGTATTGTTCCATCAAGTGCATTTTATTGTTAGCATTTTAGAGATATGAGTTCCCAATTTAAAACATCATCACCATATTAAGTGTTTGTTTGCTTGAGGGCAAGTAAAAGCTAAGTGTGGGGGTGTTGATAGTTTCCCATATTAGACAATTTTAGGTTGCATTTCATGCATCTTTTCCCTTGTTTTTGCATATTAGTTTAAAATTTTAGTCTCATTTTCACTTAGAAGTGAAAATGCATGCATATAGTTTATGATTGCATATATTTGCATGTTTATGGTGTTTCTCAGGTGCTTTAGGAGGTTTTTAGTGCTTTAGGAGGTTTTTAGAGCTTGAGGAGGAGATGGAAGCAGCTTATGTTAGAAGAGATACCAAAGAAGGAGATTTGCCAAGTTTGGTCCCATATCGAGATGAAACATCGAGCAAAACCTCTGAGGAATATGCCCAATACAAGCCGCGGTAGGTGAAGAAAAGGACTAGCTCATGGATCCTAAGGCCTTGGTCTACATCGAGGTGCTGCATCGAGCAGGGAAAGCTGCACAAACCAATACGCACTGCACGGACCATATCAGGGTGGTGAATCGAGCAAAACACCGTCCGTACAACCCCGATATGCTTCATCCGCGTGTATGACTTGATTTTCGTTGACCTTATCTTATTTGACCTTATCTTATTTTGTAGGTTTTTTATCCTTTTTTGGTTCTTTACTATAAAAGGGAAGCCACAAAACATTATCCATATGTCATTATCTATTATAAGCTTTTCATATATTGTTCATCACCTAAAAGGGCGATTTGCCTCAGTTCGTAAACATCTTTTATTTTCAATCAAGTTTACATTTTTATGGTTTAATCTTGTCTTCTGATCTTTGATTTCGCACCCTGGTAGCTTAGTTTCATTTTCTTTGCATTTAATCTCATCTAATCATGTTTAACTTTAATCAAATAGGATTAAACATGATTAGTGAGTAGTGTACCTTAGATTTGAGGTTCTAAGTAGGGAAAGTATAATCCAAGATGTGATTGAGGGGTGAATAGGCTTGATTAGTTTGTTCTCTATTGTTTCCTTCTCTTGCAAAGTGATTATTGTTCATAAAGCTTCTCCCCTTGGATTGAATATGGTATTGTTGATGCATATGATTCACTTGATGGCTTGAAGTCTTGTTCTTGGCATGATTGACTTATAGGGTTTGATAGTCTTAGCTTGGTCTATGTTTCTTTTGTCATGTGACACCAAAGTGATAGTTCACCTTGCTAGATGATTCGCTTAGGGCTAGATAGTGCTGGTTTTGAGATTCTTGCTTGATGGTTAGATAGTTTGCATTGGAAGAACATGCTTTTGTTTAAATCCTGCTCATTGCTTAGCACTGTTAGCTTTCGCAATTGTGAGCTTGAATCTATGTTCTTGATTGGTTGAGTTAGCTGCATAGGTCCATATATGGTTCAAAAGATTGATAGGTTGATCTGAATTCTTGCTTGGGTGAGAAAAGTTTACTTGACTAGTACTTCTTTTAGGCTTTTTGGTTCTGCACTTTTATGCTCATGATTAGAGAATACACCATCAAAACTGGGTTTGACACTCTAGTCTTGCTGAATTGGGTTTGCCTATTAACCACTAGGAATATCTTTCCTTAGATACCTTGTCTAGGATTACAATATTGAGAATTGCTTGCTTGATTTATGCTTGATGATTGCCTTTGTTAGAAATCCCCTTAGCAGAAATCTCCTTAGTCACTCTTGAAAACCACGTGACCATTATTGCTTAGGATCTTAGATCTTGCTTTTCCTTAATTGTCTTAAAACCACTTTGCTTAGTTTCTTTAGCTTGCTTATTTTCAGTAATCATCTTGTTTAGTTTTATCTTGCGTAGTCCTTGCTTAAGTTTCACCTTATTAGTCTTTGATTAATTGCATTTCCTGTCCTGTTTTATCTTTCTTACATTTGTTAGGTTGTTAGTTTGCTCTTGCATAATCAAAACCCCAATCCTGCTTAGCTTATGGTATTGTTTGCATCTATTGACACATGATCTCTATACTACATCCGATTAGAGATTAGGATATTTTAATCCTAAGAGCACCAAAATTGCTGTTTCATGAATCTGTTAATGGGAATTGAGGTATTCGATTCTTCAACATTTATGTCTATTTGAAGACTGATATTTTGGATTGTGGATTATCAAGTGCTAGCCGGCATCGGGCAAAGGTCTTGGTAGAGTGAGCTAGCGCTTCTAACCTCTGGTAGCTTGTGTAGTCTCGTCTTGGTACAATTATCAACACATTTTGTAACATTTTAAACATTTCACTTTTTAATGAATATTTGCAATTTAGCACAAAAAGAGCATACTCCCGAGGAAGAAATTCAACAGTCGATTGATGAATCGAAACTGGTAGCAGCAGAACAATAACTGGAAGCCGAGATTGTGAAGGGTAACTTCACAGGACACGAATCAGCAAACATGATGAATCAGAAGGATCAAATTGATGCCCTGACACTGTATAACACCTTCGCAGAAGATGAGGAGAAGGAGTTGATATCTCTTGTATTTACACCATTTAGGACTGCATTTAGTACATGTTTTGGTTCTCTTTTGCATGTTTTTCCTTAGTTTTTGCCCCATTTTCTTCCCCTTTTAGACTTAGGTTGCATTTAGGGTATAGCTTGCATTTTTCTTGCATTTTGGATGTTTTTAGGTGCTTTTGGAGCTAAAAGGAGCTTGGAGGAGCTTTGGGGATGATTCATGATGCTAGCTGGATCAAAGGGAGCAAGAAGGATCAAAGCAGACAATCTCTGCAAAGGTTTTCGGTCATAGCATGGTGAACATCGGTCAAGGGGTGACCGATACCAGATTTTTGGTCACCAA